ATGTAATACGGAAAACAACACAACGTGTCGTCTCGAATTCAGCCACAATGTTGCGATAGGACGCGCCCCACAAAGAAGCTGCTGCTGCTGATGATGATAAACTTGACACCTCCACGAATCAAAATCGAATCCGCGCGAGTTATTAAAAGCGACGTGTGCACGGAGCCCCGCGAACTCCGGAGATCCGAGTTCAATTCAAGGGTTAAGGTTGGCATCAACTGCCTAGGATCTTATCCTGCGATTGCTACTGTGCAAGGTTTTTTGTTGTTGTTGCGGTTGTTGCTGTGTGGCAGCTCTCCAATGTATCTTCAGGTCGTAGCGAGTCTTGTTTGAGTGCATTCGGTTTCTGAAGACGCTGCCAGCGCGTGGAGCAACAAAGGCCGAAACGTCAGACAATCATGCCGAACAACGCGCGAAACAACCCGAAACACGTTGGGCAGCCATGGACATCGACGCATTCCGTTTTTTTTCATCCGAATCTCACTGCCGGTCCTACTCAGGAACGGCTCTCTCGCTCTCGCCATCTATCTTAGGAGCAGGTCTGCCGAAACTCAAAAACACCATGTTGGGAAACTGAACACCCACCACTCTAGATTTGAAGCTTTTGTGACTCCAAGGATTCATACTCTTAGGCTTTTTCGGTAAAGTCGCGTAGGTAAAAAAATAAAATTAATAGAAGTAATAATAGAAATAAAATAATAGAAATAAGATATTTATTTTATTTAAAATATTTATTTTATTTCTATTATTACTTCTATTATTTTTTTTTTACCTACGCGACTTTACCGAAAAAGCCTAAGAGTATGAACACCCACCACCCTATACTCACCACCACTCCTCCCCCACCCACCTCCAATCACCACACCACCCCCGGGCGGTCTCGGTTGAAACAATCACTGTACGCGCAGTCCCCAAGTCGGCGCTACCTATTGCGGTCGGGGCAGCTGTTGCCTTGATGTCAACACCTGCTCTCCTGCTCACAATCACTTCATTACCGGCAGGCAACAGCTGCACCCGCGCCATCAACGTGTACCGCGCAGAGTTTGCGGAACGACACTCTGCGGACGGGTGGGCCATGCCAGCCTCCAGATTGCGATGCGAGCGCAAAGAAGCAAATTTTTGGCTTTTTTAATTTCGTCAGGTGCCATCTGTCTGCTCGGCGATTGTCTCAATCGAGTTCCTCCAGCGCTGGCGGATGTCTACAAATTCCACGGCCTCCTTCAACGCCAATGCCCTCTGTTGTCTCCGACTCAGTGTCTCGGCAACATGCCGGAGAAGAAAAGTGTTGAATTGCTCGGGCGAAGATAACACACCATGGCAACGTGGACATTTATCCCAGAATCTACAACAGGACTTTGATAATCTTCAACTCAATGCCCGAGAACTGGTCCTAAGTGCTACGAAGACCATCGCTTTTTTTATTCCCCGGCTGAAAAGTGGGCAAAGACACGCGTAGCGACACAGGCTCGGAATCGCGCGTAGAGCCCAGAAGAGGGACGGTACATTTTAAGGGGCATTACTATCAGAATCAGAATCTGTGTTTATACTGGAGGAATCCGATGAGCTACAGGCTCTTTTCTTCACAGATGTCCAGATGTTGAGTGTGAAGAGAGGCGGGCTTGGACAGGAGACCTCGCGGCTAGAAGGTGACCATTGTTGATGGTCGACACTAAACCACAGTAGGAGTGAACGCGCCCGAGGGAAGACCACCGTGGAGATGGAGCGATGAAATCGAAGTTGGATGGATTGTTGCATCGCCAGGCTGCGAGAGCTGGTAACGGCTTGGGTGGGTGGGTGGGGTCGGGGGGGGGGGCGTTCATCCAGCAGCGGATAGATGGTGGCTGTTGACGACGACGATGACGGCGTTTTGAGGGTCATATTGAAATATGGACCGAGCGAGCAAAACGGCCCCGCATTGGCGATTTGCCAAGACGTTGGCGTCGAATGTTTTTTTGGCATAAAATTTTTTTCATGAAAACGACCGCTTGCCAACGCGTGAATTGGGCCATTAATGCGAGAGCCACCACCTCAAGCCGCTGTCGCAAGAGTGGGGTCACACGCCGAGGAGGAGAGATGAAGATCGGTGGCGAGGAACGGGGTGGGTGGGGGCAGTGTGATGGAGGGGGCAGTCATACGTGGAGGAGAAGAGATTTCATGTGGAGACACCAAAAGTTGTGGCTTCGCTGCGATGAGAAAACAGATCGGCTGCTGCAGCAGTAGAGCAAGTGGGTTGAGAACCAATCTGTGTGGATCTTTCAGTTGGTGTCCCCTGCTAAGCATGAGTTTTCTCCGGGTACTCCAGTTTACACTTACACGAAGTCACTCATAGAATTGGGTGAACATTGCATTGCAGGTTCCTGAAAAAAGTAATTATTGAGACTCGGTGAGACTTTTAGGAATAAATAAATGACAATATTTGTATGTGCAAAATCTTCATTCCTTGTTCTAAGGATCAGCAGATCCTAAGTTGGGTCTGCACTACATGCGAGTTGGAGTAAAA